AAGAACAACAATGCTATGATTATCTAGACTATCTATCCAATCCCAGCTGACACTGGGCGGGAGGTGGAGTTCACCCTGGACAGGTCGCCAGTGTATCACAAGGCTGATGTCTCGAGACATTCAATCTCCAGTTAACCTAATCTGCATGTCTTTGGACAGTGGGGGAACCCAGGGAAAACCCATGCAGGTCTTATTAGCTATAATAAGTAGAAATACCAGTGTTGGTGCAGCAAAAGTTATGATAGTGTGAGTTTTACGGTCTGGAATGAGTCCAGAAATATTGTGTCTTAAATTTCCAGAAATGCCTAAGTTGTCGACGCCTGCATCCGTTGTCCATTTATTTCCAACACTGTCAAGTGTTATTATAATGTTACTTTTATTTACTCAGATTCTTCTCCATTCTCTCCAGGCAGCAGGGAGGCAGCGTTCACATACGCCATCACCGCAGCCGGAGTGGCCCATGCTGTGACGGCAGCCTGTAGCCAAGGCAACCTGAGCCAGTGTGGCTGTGACCGCGAGAAGCAGGGCTACCACGACCAAGAGGAGGGCTGGAAGTGGGGAGGCTGCTCGGCCGACGTTAAGTATGGCGTGGAGTTCTCGCGGCGCTTTGTTGATGCTCGAGAGATCAAGAAAAACGCCCGGCGGCTAATGAACCTGCACAACAATGAGGCAGGACGAAAGGTAATGAAACAAATTTGCTGTAAAAACAAGGTTGCGTTTCAAGCTCAGGCCCAAGGGAAAACGGTCACCTGTCAGTTTTGTCGTCAGAAAATGTTTGCATGGCATTATAATATAAATCTGGTTCAAACCACAATGTAACTCCATACGTGCATGGTTGCACAACAGCTCTGGTCAGTTTTCTCTGGGCTGTCACGCTACTTTGTGGTCTGAGGAAAGGTAAAGTTAATTAGAGACTCCAGCTTTGGGGAATGAGTTATTTTCCCCAGGTCTCTGACACAAAGTTGGCATACTGGTTAGTGTGCTGAAAGTTGAAATGCCTGCAGAAAGCCCAGCTTACCAGGAGACAGATTACAAGGATATGTGATTACTGTGAACCGTTTCAAATTCGAGCCATGAACGTGAATTCAAAATGACAATTTACACAAAAAGAGAACAAGCTCTTTTACTTTAGACTGACCTAAGCCGTACTCTTTCTGTGATCAGATCCTGGAGGAGAGGATGAAGCTCGAGTGCAAGTGTCATGGCGTTTCCGGTTCTTGCACCACTAAGACCTGCTGGATCACCCTACCAAAGTTCAGAGAGATTGGCTACCTGCTGAAGGAGCGCTACAGCGAAGCGGTTCAAGTGGAGCCTGTGCGGGCCTCGCGGCTCCGCCAGCCGTCCTTCCTGCGTCTCAAAGAGGCCCGGGGCTACCAGAAGCCCACAGACACGGACCTGGTCTACCTGGAGCGCTCGCCCAACTACTGCGAGGAGGACACGGCGACAGGGAGCACAGGGACAAGGGGCAGGCTGTGCAACGGCACCTCGACCCACACAGACAGCTGCAATGTGATGTGCTGCGGCCGGGGCTACAACACACACCACTACACACGTGTGTGGCAGTGCAATTGCAAGTTCCATTGGTGCTGCTTCGTCAAGTGCAACACCTGCAGTGAGAAATCGGAGGTTTTCACCTGCAAGTAGGGATGAGAGAGACGGACAGTGGATGGGGAAACAGACAAGGGGTCGAAGGTCAGCGGGATATGACGAAGTGGAATTTGAAGTGAAGGACTTGGAAGTATTTATTCAACATTTTGCACATTTTGACATCCTATTTGGAATTCTTCAAAAAAAGGAAAGACACGCGTGAAATGGAACATTAAGTCTGGAGAGCATGTCCAAAACATGTGACTGTGACATGACGTGAAAACGCGCTGCAGGTGAGAGGATTCTATCTCCTCTTTCCCAGAAAAGCAACATCTTGCAAACATGTAACCTACAGACATCGTGCACGAGAGAGAAGAAAGAAGCAAGGGCTGTTGTTGGATGCGGAGAAGAGCGGATACACGCTAACTGAAAGCAAAGTGCTTTGAGAACATACGGCTCCTGATGAATATTGAAAAGGTGGCGGTGGAATATTTTAACTGTACGCTCACACTGTATTCTGTTTGAACACTGAAAATAAAACAAGATTATTTATGTCTTATAAGTCTTAGGATGGATAGCAAACTATTTTTCCTTTCGTTAATGATCTTCAGTTGCTGCAGATCCGTTTTTCAAGCTGCAGCTAAATCCCTTTTTTCATTCACTTTATCAGTGGTCAGAAAGGTACTTTGCTATATTTGAATTATTTTCTTTTGCACTCACAGTCACACGTCTTCCTTTTTTTTTTCTGACGGGCTGGTGCTGTCGAGTGCTGCCCTGAGCCCTCTCTCATGGACATATTCCCACCAGGGGTCAGACCCCCTTTTGTTGCACCAAGAGCCAAAGAGGCAGAAACCACTGACATACTATTTTAAGTATTCGACTTGTCAGCTTCGGCAGCACTTAAAATCCTGACTGTTTTCATTGTTTTGTTTTTTTCGGAGGGGCTCTTGACTTCTGAGAACAGCATGTAAGCCTCAGTGGAACTCCATAGAGGTGCAATCAGGTTCAGATACATCCAACGTTCCCATGAGCAGCGGAGACGTGGAATTCCACATGGTGGCCTCTGCTTACACAAGGCCTTCCAGCGCGGTTTAGGCCTGCCTGGGTGGATGGCATGTGCCCTAACCACACAGAAGGGGGTACGAGAGGATCAAAGTCCTCACAGCTATTTTTGGACGGCACCCTTAATGTATTCAGAAATGTTTATTTAGGCTTTATATAACTTACAAAACAATTTGAAGAGTATATTTTTATATGAGGAACGTGGCACTTTATGTCATTTATAGATGGGAAACAAAGTTGCTATTTACCAGTGTTTTCTAATGTCATTGTATTCAGATTTGAGAGTTATAAATTATTTGGAATTTATGTCTTGATCAAAGTTCCTAAAGTTGTAAATACTGTGTTTTATTATCCGAGTAGCTCAGATCGTCAATCTCGACGCGATGCTTCACAACTCAAAGTAGCCCACAGGTGGAAAAACCACGTGGAAACCATTGTACATGAGTAAATATATGGATGTTGATGGTAGATAGTACACCGGAAGTGTTGGATGAAGGAGATTTCTGTTTCCAGTTGTCTTTATGGCGCTTTCGGTATAAAGGAGCAGCTGATTGCTTCCTAAAAAAAGTGTAGTTATGACTTGAAATACAGCTAATTTAAATTTATTGTCCTGTGGCTAAAACAAAGTCTGCATCACTTACAAATATGGACAGTTTGTTTTTTCTTTTTTACCAATAAAATCTGAGTTTCCTTTTAATGCCTCTTGAGTTTCATGTCACATCTGGAGTTTATTGACTTCCTTATTAAAATCATTACAAAAAGCTGTTTGTCACTCACACATTTCTTTATTGGGCATTTTATAAACATATTTGACCGGAACATGAAGCATGTGGTTTACACCCTGAGTAAGTGTTTTTGTGTTTTTCTTCTCTAAGGTCATTATCAAACCAGAAGGCACAGAGACATATGGTGGAGGCCTGCTGGATAAAACGCTGATATGGGAAACAAGAACTTCTGGCCTTGACTGATGTGGTGCTAATGTGTTAGGAGGTGAACAGACGACTGTGGCCGTGCCACCTCATTCAGCCTGGCTGACTCGCACAGCCTCTTTCCTGTGGGGCTGAAAAGCATTGCAGCCAGCCAGTCGAGCGCGAGTAACATATGTTTTGTTAGCCGTCTGAAATCCTGGGGACCGGAACCACATAAGCTCCCTCCACTATGCCGGTGGATTGAGGGGAGAGTCGAGCCGATTGTTTCAATACATTTTGTCATTAAAAATCAGAGGCAGAGCAAACAGGGTGGAGCAGGGTGTGGGCAGGCCCGTAAAGCGCTGCATTGTTGAGGTGTCAGGACCATTCAGCTTATCCAGCAACGGGAGGAGCACAGAGGGGTGTCATTCTGCAAACTAATGCTTCTGGTCTGATTCTCTCACTCACACTTTTAGTTAGTATGCTCTCATCCATCGACTCCTCATAAACTGTCATCGATCAACACAAGAAGCTATAACACACACGCACGCAACTTCAGCTAAATAGCAACTACAATATTTACTACAAATCTCTACAAAAGTCTATGTAACCAGGAAAACTCTAATAAAGTTTGAAGAAAAAGCAGTTAAAGGTATAAAACCTGAACTCAGTGTGGTGAGTTTAAAGAGGATCGATGATTCCATGAGGGCTTATTTCTCTATACGACTTCAATAAGATAGAAATAGAAGAGTAATACTGAGTTGATAAATAAGATTAAATTCTCTAAAAGAGTATAAAACTCTGTTAATAGAAGAAGCACTGCAAAAGCAAGCACCGATGTATTGCCCCTGCTGTACACTGGGCGTTGTTTTTAAATGATAAAAAAACATGCATAGTTTACTTGTTGTTATTGCCTTTTGCACTGATGTCCTTAGATTATAATATTGATAATGTTATGTCACTTTAGATAAGCAGGTATTTTAAGAGTTTGAAATAGGATAAAGGAAAAGTCTTTCTCCCTCTGGAAAAGACACCACCATTTAATTAGTTGAGGTGGTGAGGGGGTTGATTACATTCAGTTTTTTGGTTGTTCTGTTTCACGGTTACTGCAGAGGTCCCAAGGGGCCTGGACTTAAACCCCCAACCCCTGCTGGCAACATCAGTGTCACTGAAAAGTGAAAAGCCCCGGACACTGTGGTGCTTTTTCAGTCTTGCCAAAAAGGTACCAGCATGAGCTTGTCCATCCTAAAATCTTCATTTCCCAGACTCCAGTCAAGACAAAACGAGAGCTGCTGAAGTCTTTTTGAATGTAAAGGATATTGTTACGCACCTCTGAGCATGAGTACTACTACTAGTAGTGGTACTACTTCTACTACTTTGACTATAGATATATTTAAATTAAAAAGCAGTTTACTTTTATCTGTTTTTCTGGACAGGCACAAATTTGTTTTTTAAATACTGGGTAACATTAAGGAGCTTGCGGTAAAGTATAAGTACATGTTCACACAAGCGCATGCACATGTACTTTATTCCCTTCTGAACAATGACATCACATGAAAACCTGCTTGTGGGTCGAGGCTCTCCTCTTCTTGGCTGCTGCTCCGAGGTTTTTATGAGTCTTTCCTCACAGATTTGAGCAGCAAACCTCCATCTCGCTCCTCCACCAGGAATCCCAGCTCCCTGAGAGCAGAGTAGTCAGCGGGGCCGCAGCGTTCCAGCTCGGCCACCAGCTCCTGGTTCTGCAAGTTCTTTTCAAGGAGATTCCTGATGGCAAAGATGGCCCATTGGCTGATGACTGAAGGTTATCCAGTTAAGGACAGAAGCAGCAGAATCTTAAAAGAGCATTCGCATGACTGTGGAGGCTTCAATGTAAATGTACTTTGAATGGGGTGATGTCATGCATCATAAACTTTACTGTGGTAATGTTGCATTGCTTGTGTTGCATGTGGTGGAAGCTCAGACTTTAAGTGCCCAATCAAATTGCATTTAAGCAAATACAGGTCCTGTCTAACAGCATCACTCTGTTTTCTGTGACACTAACTGGGGAAACCTAACCTGTAGAAAGGTGGCACAAGGTCGTCCATGAACTAAGCTAACCTTGCTGTGAAGTGGACCACGAAAGACAATGCTCTTCTAACCTTTTCAAAAACCAGGTATGTGTTTGCCACGTCTCGAACAGGTTGTGTTTTGTAATTGAAAACATTAAACTCAACCTTTTCAAGTTTCATGCATAAATTAACTTTTTAAATTGCACATTTGTCTTTGAACAGAATCAAATACTGACACCTACATGAAGACAGCATGTGTGTGTGTAAGTACTAGAAGGGGCTTGGGGACAGAAGATGGTTTCAGACTATTGACCTGGTTAAAAAACACAGCCTGGTACACCACCAACTGTTTAACAATCTGACACCAACTCAAAAAAGGGCACAAAAACACATGTGCACTCCCTCCCAGGTCAAAGGTCAAACTCTGCTGGTTTACATCAAGTTCCAGTGGGAGCGATTTTTTCTCTATATCAGGTTAACCAGAACAATCTGATGCAAACCAATAAAACCTTTCAATAAATCACATCTTTGTGTAGCGTGCACTGTTCTCTTATTGTTGACAATGTGTCAAAGAGATAAGAGCGTTTTGGAGGACATAGTTAGTGGTGCTGTTGTTTTGATTATCAAGTCTGATAATATTTTGCTCCTCTGGTTTCAGTGTCTGTTGGCTGATAAAACACTGAATCATATCAATATACAATCTAATAAAAAAGCACCACTGTGGTAGAAAAACACAACAATAAGAAAGCTTCACAAAAACAGAATGCATTGTGGGGTTTGCATGATTCTAGTGTTCCTAACAAACCACTAAAATAGTGCTACCGAGAACTTGTTTACGTACAACTGAAATTACAGTACAAGCTTACAGCAACTCAAATGACCAAAACTTATTAATTCAAACGTGACACATCTAAATCTGAAAGTGCCTGAATAGGAGACACTTTGACTAAAATGACTTGAACAGTGATTTAACTAAACTTGCAACAGATGTACTATTGTATTAACACAGATGTGCTTTGTTTCCAGGTCAGACAAAGGATACATGGGTTGTTGCTGTCTATGTTGCAGTTGTCCAGGATGAGGGGGATGCCTTCCAGTTCTCTCACCTGAGGAAAACAAATTCAGTGGCATGTTAAAGAATTAACTAGTGTTGATTAATCAAATTTTGACATTTTTCCAGCAGTTATGACAAATAACGACGACATTTCACCGCTTAATAAAGCCTCATTTTCACAGAGTTTCATTATTGTATTTGTAGACAATAACTTAAATCAAATAACCCTGCAAAAACAAAAGAAAACCTAAGGTTACATCTATGAAAAACAACATTTGTGTTATGATAAACTTCTGTCACATTTTCAAAGCAATAGGTGAGTGTCAAATTAAAAGCAGCAACATGTTTTACTTGCTTTGTCTGATGTCCATGCCTTCTGTGGTCCGACAAAGCAAACATACCACGAGCACAGACTGCCCGCTCTCATCACTACCGTTTAAATCTTCCATAGAAACATTTGAGTGAATTGTCGGATTTGGTCGAGCTGTGCAGTCTAGCCAGCAATCATTGTTTAAAGAAAAAACAAAGTACAAATTCATTATGGAAAGAAACGGATTCGACCTGAGTGTCCCTGTCCTGAGCGGAGCCTCGTGTCCATGCAGAAGCAGCAGTGTGGTTTTGGGTTAGTGTGCGACCGTCACAACAGGGGGATCTGCTCTGTATCATTTGTCTGATTCTATAGGCTTAATTGTTGACTTTGCTTACTGTTGCCCTCCTCTTGCCTTTGTGGTTACCCTTCAAATACTCTACTGGGAGCTCCAGAACACCGCCGAGCTGCTGAGTTTCAGAAAATGTAAATGTCATTTCAACTGTCAAAGACACAAAGTCGCTGACAAGCACAAGCACCCAGGTCTGCGTTTTTCCACTTTCACAGGGATTGTTGCTTATATTATGTCCAAACCCATAAAGAGATGAATAACAAGTGACTGGACCCCGACTTCAGCTCGGTACAGGCAGTTCAGTGCTTTGCATGAACATCTTAAATTACAATATCTCCCAAAGGTGAACAGAATGACATTTGGTTTACTGGAAGAGATCTTAGTGAAAACAGATATGGGGTGATTTCTGACCACTGACAGACCACAGATCAGCATCCATAAATATTATAGAGAGGCCAACTGAGGGTGGCCATCCCACAAGCATTCCACAAATCTGTTTCTATTAAGTAGGACTGAGTCTATAATGCAGCATAGATAGAGGCCAACTCCTCCCCATCCCCATCATCTATCTGTTTTTTATGTTAATAGTCAGATGCTGACAGACGGAGACAAACTGATAAAATCACCAGGGAAGGAATGTTTCACGTTACAGTGCAAAACCAAGCAGTTGTGTTGAAAGAACTGGTAAGCTTGCAGTCAAGGAACAAACACGACCTCATGCTCCATTAGATATTACACTAATGTGTGCTCCTCGGTTTTTCTCAGTCAAAAGACATCACACGGTTTGATGCAATAAAACAATAGACTTAAATTAAAGATGCAAATGAATGTAGAGAGAGATCTTACTATGATGGCCCAGACCTCATTCTTTCCTTGACCGTCAACCCCATTAAGTTCGACTGATCAAGGCTGGATTAGAAAAGAAAACAACCCAATAAAAAATAATAAGTATTCGGAATTAAAAATAATGAGGCCCTCAATTCCCTTCTGTAAAATATTTTTTTTTTTCCAAACCCAAATTTCCTGACAGAACAATAAAAGGGCAAAAACTGACATTGTCTTAAGATAACTTGTATATATTCAATTGAAAGTTTTAAAAATTAAAGAGGCAGAAAGCACCACATACTTAACCAATTTCCTTGAAATAACAGACAAACACATCATTGATTTTGAAAGTGACTTTCCTGCTGATCCACTTACAGCTTCTGTCCTATTCCTGTTGGCTTTGATACGTGCTACAGTTACAGCTGCGGTGCTTTTTACTGGCCAACAGCTGCATTAAAAAAAGTGGAATAACATGTCTGATGACCCAAGAACAATCAAATAAAAAGATCTTCCTTGATCTGCACAGAAAACCTGTGGAAAATGTATCTTAGCTTTTTTTTCTTTCAAAATAATACACTCATCTTTACAAAGGTCTTTACAACCATCATTATTAGCACTATTAAGGCTTGAATAAATAATGACTTAATCAATTGATCTGTTTTTCGTCCAAACCTTGTTCTGGTTGTTGGTGTTGCTGTGACAGAGATTTCCTATCAGCCGGATGAGATGAGCCTTGAAGCCGATTACAGGAGAAGAGTCTCCATCACCACTGAAGGAGGAGAAGTTCTGAGCAGCACTGAAAATATTCTTACTGGCCTTCCCTATGGCGTGCACCTGCCCCAGGAGCTCTGCAGGGACAATTTAAAGGGGAAAAAGCAGAATGATGGAAGAAAAAAAAGGAGAAAATACAGCATTTTATTTACCAGGGTTTAGTTGAACCCAATATGGATCCTCAATCAGAGAATGGAATTGGATTTCTGGATAAATTAACTTTAGACATGTTGTTTAAATAACCAATTGTGTGAATTCTGTCAAACTTATCTGCATTTGAACTCAACATGGAGAAGAGTTGTGGGCAGGAATTTAATTTGTTTTCCTGTGGGTGATTTAATGGGGATCTGGATCTTTCACAACACCATTTCAAACAGTATCTACGGTGTGTAGCTGACATATTTACCCTAAGACAGCCAAATCTGACCCACAGACTCCAGTTGTGGACCCGGTCAGTGAGGTTGAAAGAGTGTGTTTGTGTTTTCATTTACCAACAGTGGTCATGAGAAGGTCAGGGTGATCCTGCAGGAACATGAACTGTCTGTGGCCTGAGGTCATCTCACACAAAACATCAAGCAGACTGATCACTGTCAGTGCCTCCTGCAGGACCTGCAGGGGATTACAACCAATGGGTGTCAGGATTTGACATGGTAATACTGCTACTGGGTAAAAAAACCTTTTAAAAACAAATCTGTTTGAAAGTCTAACATAGTTTAAATCCAAGTCTTTACATGTAGTTTATCTGTATCTCTGTACCTCATTGCTGGAGGCAGAACCAGTGGCAAGTGTGAGCACAGCTCCACAACCTGTCTGGAAGGAATTAGCCACGAAACGAGCCACGCTGGGTGGGACGCCGCACTCCTCTGAGTCTTCCTCTCTTAGCTGGGCAAAGAGCAGTTCCAGCAACGTAACTCTGAAAATGACAAATCTGTAAATTACATATCTAGAGCACAATGTTAGATTTAAAGCTTGGTTTTCTGTTTCTATACCAGGTTGTATTCTGTGACATGCAGCCAGGTTATTTAGCAGAATAACAATCGGAATCCACTCAACCAGATTTAACAAAACTGTCTCCCAGCATGTCAGTTTCTGTGGGAGTTAGTCTTATTATTTCTTATTTCTATGCATGTTTGTCTCTGTAGTAAAAGTGACGTACCGTTCATGGTGAGACATCCCTGAGTACATGTTCTCCACCAGATCTGAGGATTTGAGAAAGTGCTGGGTTGCAATGAGAACCCTGAAATTCATAAATACAATTTAAAACTTTACCAACATGAAATGGAAAATGTGAACTCTTTACACATGAACAGAATAATGCATTACCCACACCATCACAGACACATATACACACGTACGTCCAGTCCAGTTCAGGTTGAGTCCTACAGAGCTCCATCACCCTGAACGCCAGCTGGATGTTCTGCGGCTTCGACATCTCCTCCACCTTGACTTCATCCAGACACGTGTGGAGAACCATGGAGGCGTAGCTCACCGTCTTCTCATCATCAGCCCTGAGCAGCTCCCTGCTCACACATGTACAGCAAGACTCATTGTAAATATAGTTTCAATTTTAATGATTTTCTGATCTTTATTTCTGACACAGCAGTGTTAAATAGTGTTGTATAGTGATATACTAATATAACTACCATTGTGTCGCACACAACTTACAGGAAAAGATTTGGGAAGCTCAGCTCCCAAATGTCATCTTTACACATTTGGTGTCCCACAGCCAAGTTACCGAGGAACTGAATCCCACAACGGAGAGCTGGAGGACATGATGTATGGTAACTTAATATGCACAAGGTTCATTATGAAGATGATGTGATTCTATTATTATGGAGGAATGATCCAATTTCAGGACTTACCTTCAAACATGCCATCGATACTCTCCAAATGTGATTTCTGAAGGAAGTTCAGAAGCTTAAGTGAAACATCAACGAAACCAAGCTCCCTAGACGAAGAGAATTAGATTATTTTGTGCTTGATGTATATTTAAAAGAGTCTTTGCTCATCTCTTTGGTTAAAGATGTTATTGGCAGGTGGACACAATAACATGAACGCATTTAATGTGATTTAATAGAACTGCATTTTCTGTGCAACTAAGTGAACTGCTTTCAACAAAATGTGTTGTGTTGTTGGATCAGGTGCGATATGCAGATAGATCATTTAAAATGTATGCAAATTAATCACAAAAATAATAAATTATTACCTCTGCTCAGAGGATAATGTTTTTGTTTGCAGTCCAGGGATTTATTTTAAGCTTTCATGAACATTGTGGGATTGGGTGGTTATTTTGATATTCTCACTGTTTTCCTGGGAAATAATTCACAGACCTTGATGAAATTTTGGGAACTGATATCTCTGAGTGTGTGGAATTTGGTGCCGTTTGGCTGAGTTGGGCCTTTCTAGATAAGCAAAGATTCTCAGCAGCTGAAGACCCTCCTGTTCCAACTGTCTCAACAACACTGCGTTGTATCAGGAATCACCTGAGCAGACTCTGGTTGCGTGTGCTCTGGACACACGAGTTCCTCTGGGCCCTGAAGCACTCGGCGGTCAGCTGCAGCTGCAGACCGACGGACTGCAGGTCCTCGCTGGTCTCTCTGACGGCCTGGAGCTCGTCGCTCAGCCTGGTGAGGACCTGCAGGAGACTGGAGAACGCCTGCTCCTCCACGGCATCCCTGATGACAGGAAGTGGACGGACAAAGAGGAGGAAGACAGCAATTCATTAATTCAGAACAATGGTTGTTAAACATGGAGGAAGCCAAGGAAATGAATGTGCAATGAAACTGAATTTACCAGTGTAGTTTATTACACTGTTCATTTCTTCTTTAAGCTTCACTCTTTGCTGGGACACTGGCATCATCAGTGATATTAATCCTGTTGCTATGACAATCCAAAACGTCTGCTGTGAAAACTGTGAATCTGAACATCTACTCTCATTATCAGACTGCAGCCTCATACTGAAACACATCACTCTGAATCATGGTGGATAATGGACCAGCCCTCAGAACGTGAGAAGTGACTCTAGGCTACATTAGCCTAGAAGCTAACACCCTCGGTTCCCGTTGGATAAAGGCCCTAAACAACATGTCCTCACCTGTATTCTCTTTCCCGTAACGCAGCCGTGAACGTCTTCAACACCTGCAGGTGCCCTGCGCGGTGTTTTTCATTCAAAATGCCGCCGATAGACGCAGAGATGTCCTGGTTGCTGTTGCTGACAGCTGCCATGTTTGCCTGCTTCGAGCGTGGAGGAGGGACTTCCGGGTGAATGTGCGCCGCGCTATTGGTCGAGCCCCGGGGACGGAGGCGGAGTCGGAGCATGTGCTGCTGTTTTCGCTCAGCTGCTCGTCTCCTCTGCAGACAGATGGAGGATCCTCATCAAACCCCCCGTCCATCACACTGGACGTGCAATGTGAAACACTACCTGGCCCCAGGTCATCTGAAGAACAAGTGGATTATAAATAAATAATCCACAGAGGAATATGGAGCACGAGAGAACAAAGCTGACATAACAAAACTGGATTGTGGGACCCCTCTCAAATATAAGTACTTACAGAAGACACTGTTTTCTACTGGCTGCAACACTTGCTCAGTTATAAATAGTATTGTTATTACTGTTATTATTATTATGGTTATTATTATGAAGTAGTATAGGAGATAGATAGATAGATGGACTGATAAACGGACAGACTGATAGATAGATAGATAGATAGATAGATAGATGGATAGTTGGGTAGGTGGGTGGATGGATAGATAGATAGATTTAACAGTGAGCCTCCACCTGAAAACACTGCTGTCTTATACCAGTAGATTGTGCAGTGGGCTTGATAAGATGTGTAGAGTAATTCAACACATTCAACATGTATTAAAGTCACATATAAAACATATGCTATCATAACAAGAACCTTGAAGTGCATCCATCCATGTTCATCCAACACAATCACCTCTGGTTAAAACCTCCTCATCTCTGCCTGTGCTATATTTAAACATGCTGCACAACATTACACCCACTCATTTCTGAGGTGGAAGTTTTGCAAGTTGCAGCTGCAGCCACATCTTAAATCAGTTCGCCTGAAGCCATCGTTTCATTGAGTCTGGACACGTTGTGGGACAATTGTTGCAGCTGCAAAAAAAAAAAAAAAAAGCCACAGGACAAGCCTTTGAGATTTCCATGAAGAGTGGTGGATTTTAGATTACAGGATTTTCCTCCACATGCTTGTCTTCTGTGTTTTCACTGGCAGGGCGCAGTACAGAAGTGGTGAGAGGCTGATCAACATGGAAGAGGGTGGATTATGGATGGTAAGAGGCATCCACCTCAAGCAATTTGTCAGCTTTGAGATGAGTATGAGTATGAGTAAAAGCAAACATTCCTGGTATAGGACTCCCATTATTCATCCTCCTTTGAGCGGAGAAACTGGAAATTCCCTCACAAACTGGAAGTGGTGTATGGTGTGATGAGGAATCAGAAGAGTTGGGTTACAGGAAAAACAGGACATCCACTAAGGTTTTAGTTATCGTGGAAACTTAAGTTATGATGACTAAAAGAGGACTGGAGCAGTGTGCAGTGGTGGCGCTCTCCTCAGTGAAAATACAAATAACAGCACCAAGTCTTTATTATTCACAGACACTTGTATAGCCTGATGGTACAAAACACAGTCAACAACAATGGCATCTTATTTCCGAACGATGCATGTTAGAGCTGGTCAGTAGATCAAACGGAGCAAACATCATCCCTGGTGGAAGGATGCAGTGGGGGTCAGGGACAAACCCATTAAATGCTAAATCAGGGATTATTTTCACTTTCTGAGAATAATTCTTGGATCTTGAAGTCAGGCATTTTTACGGGACTGATAATTAGAAATGTGTGGAATTTGGTGCAGATCCCAAAAAATATGGATCTATTGTATTTAAACGTGGTTTCATAAGTGGACTGCCGGGCATTGGTGGAGGTATACACTGTACTGAGTACTATTTTATTTATTTCACTCTTGTAAAAGGCATTGTATATTCAACACATCTGGGTTACAGGAATTAGGAGTGAGAACATTTCATTATTGTTTGTCAATTAACTTTTTGGTAAAAAGCCCCTTTAGTCCCGACAGGTGATATTTTGACTTGACCTTGGTCCATGCTGAACAATCTCAACAACAAGGACCTGCTGTGAACTGCAACTGTTCCTGGATTGAAACTTTGATGCTTTTTGTAAATGTTCCGAGCAATAAATGTGACATTATGTAACTACAATTTGCCAAGTTACATGTTATTTTACTGATGTAGTACTTCCCTTCCCTTCTCGGCTCAGAACCAGAACTCAGAGATAAAGATGCGTAGGACGACAACATTTTGATGGGAAACGGTTCCTGACTTGACATAATTCATAGCCACCTTCAGCTCCAGATACCTGGGGCCAATGATCGGTTTCACCTGTCGCACAACACCTGAGGGAGACACATATTGGGATCAGCGACTTAAATTCAGTATTGGCACATATTTAAAATAAATGAATGTGTATAATACAATAGGGGATTTGGTAAAGGATCGGCTGCCTGGGTCCAAGTGGTACAATCTCCTTTTACCCATAATCTTGTCCTGGTGGAAGCGCTTCTCCACGTCAAAGGAGAACTGTTCATCAGCTGAAGTGATCTCAAAATAAACATCAGTTGCTCTGCGGGGATCAGCAGGGTAAGCAGCCACAACCGTCTGCAGCCAAACTATTTCTGTCAGACGAAAGGGTTTCAAGGTTTTATTAGTCCGATAGAGGCAAACCACAAAAGTGCATCAGACTCTACAAAATCAGATATTTGTGCTGCAATTAAACAATTGCACTGTGGGTTGGAATATGTAATTGAATCTTATGCACTGTGGCAGGTTGGAGGGTGGAAATTTCAATGAGGCTGCAAATAATTGCTTTCAGAAGCTACTGATTCAGGTAATATGATACAAAATCTTACTGAAGGCACATGCAGATAATCAACTGTAACTGTCAGGAAGCAGTTTCTAAGAAATGAATGTGTCGTACCCTCGGGTGCGCTGAAGTCTACGAAGTATGGCAGAGAGAGGATGCTGTAGGTGATGATGTGGACGGAACAGTTGGCTTCCTCAAGTGGGCAGTCCTTAATACAACGTAAACCCAACGAAACATCTGGTCTGGGTCTATAAAGGAAAGACAGCCACGAAACAAAAAAATATGAGAAAGAATGGAGGGAATCAAAATGGGGGAAAAGGGATTTAAGACGTGTTCCAAGAAAAGAGGAAAACAGGCATACAGAAACATACAGCAGTTCTACCAAAAGTTGACTTGAGCAATACAAAAAAACCCTGGCAACACCTGAATAGCCCCATAGACCTCTATGGTTAACCAAGCGACGAGTGCCTCAGAGAGAGGCCAAACCGTGGAGTCGTGTTTGTGAGGGTTCCCCCAGTGTGAAGACAGTGCCGCTTTCAAACATAACCTCAGAAAGAGCAGCGAGAGCGGAGCTGTGTAATTAGCAGCGAGCAGGTGAGTCCAAGTTGTTCGCTGAAAGGCCAAAACCACAGGGATGATTGTGTGGTTGAAAACAGACTAGTAGAAAACCAGCAGAGGCAATGTAAGAATGAATGTGACTTGATTTGGTCAAATCACATCATATTAACACTGATGGAAGAAGGAGACACAAAAAGTTTGACAGAATTCATTTAAGGGCATTCACTATAGTCCAGACCTCCGCCAAGGCCCAACAGTCCCCTCATGAAACCACATTTAAAATCACTAGCTCCGCACACACTCATATATATCAGTCCCCTAAACATGCCTGACTTTTTAAATCAAGATCCAGGAATTATTCTCTGAGAATTCAAAAATGATAAACAAAGTTTTTTTTCACTGACCCATACCGCATTCTTACAAAAAGTTTCCAGGAAATAAGTTCAGTAGTTTTTGCATAATCCCACTAACAGACCAAAAAACTAAAATGTTTAAAAACGTCCTATAATAAAAAAACCAATAAAAATAAATAAATAAAGGTCACGCAACCTTTCCCTTCCACTTCAGAAAATTCTATGAAAATTGGTTGAGCAGTTTTTTGTGTAATACTGCCAACAAACAAACAGGGATGACAAAATAACTAGCTAACAATCCTATAATGCATCTTTATAATCATCATACAGTGCTTCACTATTTATACATGTATATATTCATTAATGTTGCATTTTATAAATCAGGTGGTCATGCAATCAAAAAATATCCTTCCATCTTGTATTTTCAATCAGCTCTACATTCACCAAACGCTGAAAGAGGAACAGAAAATGTTATGTGGTTGCATTTATCCAGAGCAGAGCAGCTACCAGCCTTTTCAGTATCATTTACAGAAGATTTACTGATAACCACCCAATACCAACACTAAAAGCACCATCCATCATGTGAGCCGTAATGCCGCTCCACCACTAATTGAGAGCCCACGCTGGCCGGGCCCCAGGTGCCCATAAATAAGTGCCACGCTTATTTTTCTTTGCCGTCTGCTGAGGCGAGGCCTGTTTGATCCTACGGTGAGGCCACTTGGAGCAGATCATAGGAAAAATTGGTTTCTACATTAAAAATGACCACAGAGGAGGAAGCACGAGAGCAGTGGCAGAAACCATTGGCAGCGTGTGTAAGTGTGTGTGTGCTTAGATATTAAAGAGCGAAAGGCCATTTTTATCTGTCACTTTTTTAATTCCAGTCACATTGAAAGTACCAATAACGGGAAGCTGCCGCAGAGACATGAGGTGGAATGAGCTGCCATCACCACTTCATTAACAATAGTGTTGTGGAGAGCTGCAGCAGCTTATGAGCCCCATCTAGTGGTGAAATAATGTCCTATTATACCCACAGCCATATGCCAAAATAAATAACAAAAAGGCCTTGAGAGCAGTCTAAACAGCTGAATTAAAATAAACTACTTCTTCCTCTAATGTTATTGAGCATTTTCTACTACACTTAAGCATAAAGGCACTGTGACTTTTATGAGTCTTCTCATCTAACTCTCAGCAAGACAGTGAAGTGAAGTGTTTATTCCAAAATGTTAGATTTCTCACTGCAGTGAAAATTCAGCCTTTTTTTTTTTTTTACCACAGATGTGACTATTCTTTTTGTCACCATAAGGAAGAGAAGATGAGTAATACCTAGACCACACACACACAGACACACACACACACACACACACACACACACACACTCCGAAATAAGGATAAGTTGAAATTGGAAAAAAAGAAAGCAGTTAATTTGGCAAAGAAAAGAAAAGTGATGAAAAAGGAAAACCACATGAGTGGTCAATACAAGACTTGAAATATTAGTTTTATTATTAGTTTAAATTTCACACAGACTTCTATTATGGCAGAGCTCTCGAGGGGCGGATCGGCTGCTCGTGTGTGACAAACACAGCAATCTTGGCCATGTACATATTTGCCCTTCTGTAACGGATTAGCCTCATCTGCACTGTCAGAAAGAAGTCCTGAGGCTCAGACAAGGCACGACGCAGGGAGATAACTCCTCCATGGTCCTGATGCTGCACAATGAAGTATCCCTCTTTGTCTCCGGACTCTATGCTCAAGAGCATCTCGTCTCCTAGGACTGAATTGGACGGTCCCATCCTGAAAACGTCGGCGGGGACAGGAGTGTTGGTGGGGAAGCTGATGTTGTAGAAGGAGATTCTCAGCGGAAGCGAAAAACACGACGCCGGGTCCTGCGTGAACTCGCAAGTTATGCGCTCGCAACGGCTGAAAGGGAAGAGATGAAAGGAAGGGCTCATTGGATGGAGGGAGGAAACACTAAAAGATGAAAAGGACAGAGAGAAATCTGGAGATGTTCTGTGAGCAAAACTGTGAGGATAATGTCAAGAGCTGGACATAATCAAAGGAGATATGTGAGAATTTTGAAAATAGAGTGTAAAATGAAAAAGATGACAGGGCGGAGTCACTTAAAGATAAACTATAAGTGTGTGAGATGCATCAAGCACAACTCAGGGGGGCAAAATCAACCCTTTCATTTCAACAGCTAAGAAGCTCTCATCTCTCACCCCGGTGACGCTTGCCGGAAGTTCTGAGGACACTTGAGGGACAGGCAGCGAAATCCTCCTTGGACGTTGAAGCAGCTCTCAGAGACAGAGCAGTTGTGGGTCTCTGCTGCGCATTCATCAATGTCTGAAAACACAGGAAGAAATAAACGGAAATAACAACATATAATCATTATTTCAATTAATAATATTGTCCCAGGGGTGATACTGAAATTCCTTTTAGAAACATCCAATCCTGAAAGCTGAAAACGTCGGTGGAGGTTAACATTGTCCTCTGCTGACCTTGACATGTGCGTCCATCGGGGGAGAGTGTGTAGCCAGTGGACGGGCAGGTGCAGTAGAAACTTCCTGGGGCGTTGGAGCAGTTGTATGAACACATCTGACCTCCAGCAAGAAGAGCGCACTCATCAATATCTGAGAGGGGGAGGAGACAGGTTAGAGACACATCTATGGGTTAACCAGTAAAATATACTGTAATAAGATTAGATTAGATTCAACTTTACTGTCATGGCACATGTCACAAGTACAAAGCGACGAAATGCAGTTTGCATCCAACCAGAAGTGCTTAAACAGTGAATAAATATATGGTACAGTATGCTTAAGTATGTG